TAGAAGAGTTTGTTGAATCTGACGTGACATGTTCGTACGAACCCTTCGTACGAACAAAAGTAAGAGAAATTTAGGATAAGAATACGAACATGTTCTTGCATGAGGCCTACTGGACGTATGAGGCTACAGATTAAATAACCTTAGTAAATAATAAAAATGCTACTTTTGATAAACTTTACATTGTGAACTGACTACATTAAAAAAGGAGTTCATGTGGTTTGATGTTTTATGTGGCCTCTGTGTCTGAAACTGGTTCAGGGAGTTGGACGGTTTGTTTGGAAGAACTGCTGAGGTATATCCCTGCAGAGAAACCATTCCAAAGTCAGGAATCATCCCCAAATAAAATCTTTTTGTGGCTAGTGAGCTGAATTTTTGGGACTCTGGAATGATGTGCAAGAAAAAAAAAATGTCTTTTTTTCTCCTTCTGATTTGCAAAATAGCTGCAATAACAACTTTCTCATTTGTGATTCTGACAGATATATTTTGTTCAAAAGGAATTTAATATTTAATTTTCAAACAATATATCTGTCCATATGTGTTTTTTTGCTACAAAAACCACATCCTGCATGTTACAGACAACAGTCCTGATTTAAATCATGTTTTAATAATAAAACCTGGAGAAAAGGAACCTCAGGCCTTTAGAGACAAAGCAGGAACTTCCCAGAACTGAACTTTCTGAACAGCATCACTTATGGAGTCTGATGTAAAAATGTCTTATTAAATCCAACACACCAATGTGTGTATCCACCCAACCACACCCCCAGACACACACACTTCATAGACTTAACAATATTAATTGTTAATAAAATGAATGCAGATTAATAATATTGTTCTAAAACTCTGAAGTTGTGGAGATTATTTCGTACTGTGAAACTGATGGTTAACGTTGATTTTGGCTGTGTTGTGTTACATGTAGTGACAGATCTACCCTGATGGAGGCGCTGTGCTGATGTTTGCAGTTAGTCTGGAGTTTTATTCTTTCTTTGGGACACTTTGTGTCCTGCTACTGTTTGCCTTTGGTTGTGTGTGTTGACCTGTGTTAAAACAAATATTAATTATAAAATAAATACATTAAAAATGACCTCCTCACTTCCTGACATAAAATACAGCATTAGTGGATGATCTGCTATGTTTTAGACGAGAAAGACATGAGACAAATATGAGAATAAAACAGATTGGAGATACAGATGAAACACAAGTTAAATTAGACAGATATGACAACTATGAGACATGTTATGTATAAGTAGAGATGAGACGTATATGAAATACATATGAGACAAACAGAGATGAGGAAGATATGAAACAGATTTGAGACATGCAATAAACGAGTAATGAGAATAATACGAGACAGATATATGACAAATATATGAAACATGCTATATATAAGACAGATGAGTAAAATAGGAGATTGAATGAAACGTGAGAAAGATGTGAGATTATATGAGATGGATATAAAATAGATATGAGACAAATACAAGACAGAATACAATATGAGCTGTATGACACATTAAATAAAAATAAGACATGTATGAGAAAGATTTGATACAAATTTATGATAAATAAGAGGCAGATAGGAGGCAGATATGGCATATTTAAAACAAATGTGAGACATGTTATACAAAAGAAATGAGACATGTATGAGAAAAATGAGACAGATGTGATAGATTTAAGATAAATACAAGACATAAGTTTGCTATGAGAGAAAAATGAGAGTGAAGGATATGAAATTAATAAAAGACGTTATACATAAGGCAGATTTGAGACAAATGTGAAATATACATGAAATATATATAAGATATATGAGATATATATGAGACAGATATATGAGACATACAGCGGGTAAAATAAGTATTGAACACGTCAACATTTTTCTCAGTAAATATATTACTAGAGATGCTAATGACATGAAATTTTCACCAGATGTTGGTAACAACCCAAGTGATCCA